TAGTAGTAAAAACTAAATTTCAGCCTTTTAAACTTTTTCAACGCTTAAAATATCACAACATATGCTATACATATCTCAATGATATTTAAATGCGATGGAAGCCGTAACTATTTAAAATCAATTAGTGAACGAATTTCGCTAACCACTTTGAATAATTGGAAGAAAAAAAATCAGCGGCTTTTTTTTGTTGACAGTTTTGCCGTTGAGAGATGCCCGGCAACGAAAATGTTAAAATGATTTAAGGAGCTCTCAATGATAGATCCGGTTAATTATTTACGACTTTTAAATATCTTCTTACACGTGCTTGTACAATAAACGGTAGTCCTCCAAAAATCATAAAACACTTCTGAAATTTATTTCCGCATTATAAACACATTGAGTTCAGCATTCACTTTCAGAATGAGTTTTATGAAGGTGCCGGGCTGTCAGTTTCTGTGCTGATAAGACATTTCCTAACATGGTGTAAAACATTTCGAAACGCTAATTTGAGGTTGCTCCCCCTTTTATTTGAAGACGCCCAATTGGTTTAGAGATAAAAACTGGTGTATTCCTTGAATTGTATCAATTTGTGTAGTACAACCTGTAATTTCATAATCTGTGTCTGAAATGATTTGTTATCATAAGCAGATGTAGTAAGCTTCAAAGTTATCACAAAGTTATCTTTCTAACACAAAGCTATCTCAACGGGCTTAACAGTTTTTGATGCGAAGCGTTATCTCCTGTTATGTCATACGCTTTTGGAAAAGAAAAAAAGTTAAGTGTGGTGTTTGTAAAAATTCTGATATGCTGTCCACTTCAGATGATTCAGCGACGGTGTTATTTGTCAGTATTACGTAAAAAATAGGGAAAATCATAAAATTTTCTCCACGTTTTCGTGTTAGAATTGCCTTTCTGTAACCCAGAGTTTATTTGCTACGCGAAGTTTTTTTTAATTACATTGCGATGCGAACATCAATTTTTTTTATTACAACTTAAATATATATTAAATTTGTGATTCGATTTAAATATTTCTCATGCTTACGACTGTGAAAATCAGCATATAAGGTGCCAGTTTACGACGAATACCAACAATGATCAAAATGCCATTTATGACAAACGACGAAAAGTTATTAACAAATAACAGTTTATTTCATATTTAACAACAAACATAACATATCATAACCAGAGCGGATATGTCAAAAATTATAAGTTCCCGATCTAATGAAATTTCACCACAGAAGTATATATTTTTTTCACCCAAAAATGAAATGAATTGTAATTAAAGTCAAATTCGTATAATTCACAATAGAATCCAACCACGAACTGACCAGAGGATATGAAAACTTCGCGGCTTATACTTTCAGTAAGAAATGAATTAAATGTTCGGCACTCTCCTTTTTTTTCCATTCTAATGGCATGCACTGAACTTTTACGTCCTTCGCTTAGGAAGAACCGTAAGTATTACTCATTTACCCAGTTGGCACCTCTGAACCGAAGTCACGGAGGCGAGCAACATTACCCACGCCACAGATACCCGTTTATAGGGTGGGCCACATTCACACATCACACAATAGAGAACGACATCCATGCCCTTAGCGGGATTCGAACCTGCAGCCATTGGCTTCGCAATCAGGCAAGCTAACCGCTCGACCGTCTGGCCGGCCGATACTTTTCTTGAGCTGAACTAATGGGCTGTAATCAACGGTATGACATTCATCTTTTATGATGATCTGCTACAACCCTGTTGCATTCGTACTCTGAAGTACGATTCCAATCGAAGACAGCATGATGCAGAGCTCGCGCTAAGCATTCGATACCTCGTCAAATGCGATAAAATCGTAAATTTGGCGAATAAAATTGTGTTTTAGCGAAAGTATTGGCAAATGTTTTTTTTTCCACTGAAAGAAAAATATATATAAAAATTGTTAAGATTTGCATTTGGTGAAGATTTTCGAAAACTGGCGAATGATTTTGTTGTTTGGCTAATTTACTAGCAAATAGTTTGAAATTCTTATCTCGGGCCCTGATGATGGCAGTAATAATCCTACGTTAGAGTGATTTTTGAATTACTAAAGCGGAAAAAAAGCCGTTTTGTCTGATCATCCCAGTCCAAATCGCGGTAGGCGAACCCATCACATCAACTTATTTATAATATTTTTAACTTCAATTTTTGAATATTTTGCTTAATTTGGAGGCTTTATTTGAATAGTGGACCATTCATTTTGGGGACTTTAAAGTCTAAAGAATGTATTGTATTTTCTATCTTGTCTGGTTTGCGATATTTTCTATTCAGCCATAGCATTAAAATAAGATATGAATGACTAGCGGCCATGAAAGTAAAAAACATCAGGTAAGTTTTTCGAACACGCATGTCAGCTTTTGTGCTCAATTCATAAAACGGGTTATAAACCCTTATTAAATTTAAAAAGAGATAGATTAAATTGGAGAGTGGGGAACAAAGATACCTTCTTACTCCGTGCTGTGACCCCGCATGGGTTTTTGTCCTAACGCCGGTGTCGTGACCACAGGCAATCAAAGATACATCCAGGGCTACCACTGTAACCGAACCTGCTACCTCTACGTCTCAGAACGTTTGGTGGAAAAACAATACGCCGCTACCACGAAGGTCCCACCAGAAAAGTTTTTAGTTGAGTTGGTCCACTATTTAATCTTTATACGTGAGAACATGTTGCCAGTTTATTAACTGAAATTGAACTGAACTGAATTTATTAATTGGGAAACTCAGAAGTCCTCGTCTCATTCATCGTGAAATTACAAACAATGAGTAAAAACAATTTGGTAATTAAAAAAAAATTACTGTAGAAAAGAGGCAATGGGACAGGAGAAAAGCACAATAATTGCCATACAATATTACGAATAAAGTAATTAATAATTTAAAGTCTTTTGGGTCCACAAAGTTCCCATTGCAATAAAATCAAGTTAGTTGAAGAATGTCTACGTGTCCATAATAAATCATATAGTGGAATAGTAGATGATGATGAGGAGAAACAGTGATGAATATATCCTTTCCTTTCTGTTTTATTGTGCTACATACATACATACATATATATATATANAGTTATCGCTATTTTTGTGATTTTTCCTTAATTTATGATAACCAGTGTATATATATATATATATGTAGCACAATAAAACAGAAAGGATAAAAGGAGAAGGGAGAAAAACAAGGAATAATTCAAGAAAAGCAATGATAAGTTTTATTTACTGCGCATAAGCTACAAGTATATAGAACTCATAAAATAAGTTAAAAATATAGGGGAAGCATGGAAAATAATATAATAAAGATTAATGATAAGAAAAAAAGACAAATTATTAAAATAAATATTTTAAGAAAAATGAAAAATATTTATTAAAAGATCGGAAAACGAAACAGCGAAAAGATATAATCTCATCCTCAGCTCACACGATTATATCCGCAAAAAGGAGTGCTTTCTAATATTGTATTAATATAGCCAAACAATTAATTATGTATTGATATAGTACTAATGTAGCCAAAAAAATTTTTTAACTACTTCTTTTTGAATTTTATGTTTTAATGCAAATATTATCTCGATAATCTAACTTATTTTTTGGAGTAAATATATGGCTCTTTTTTATAATTAAAAAGTACCAAAATATATTTTTGCTTTGAATTAGAGCGTCAGAAAAATACATATAAAAGGGACACCGCAGTGTCCCATCTGCGTCAAAGGGTTAAAAAAAAAAGTGTCAGCTTTGAAAATTTCTTAAATGTGCAAATTCGCTGCTTTGGAAACTGGATTTTTCAAAAATCATTCAAATTTATTTATAATTTTGACGCAGTGCTTTTGGTAAAATAAATTAAGAGAACTTTTTTTTTTGTTGCCAAACATACCATTCTTTCGCCGGAATGCATTGAAACTTTCAAGTGATACTTGAATAGATGCTTGTTAGTATTGTGCTATTTCACAGATAAAATATTGAAGTCAGCGAGTATTTCTTCTTTGCAATAGTAGCAGCGTTTTGTATAATATTTGAAGGGGAAAAAACGAGACATAACTTGTCTCTCTAACCTTTGAAGAATATTTTAAAAGGTTACAAATCAAATTATTAAACATATAGAAATTGAACATAATTTTTACTGTAAGCGATAGTTTTAGTTTAAATATGAATAATTTGAAATGTAAGTCGTAATGGTACTTGGTACGATTAGTACGATCGTAATGGTACGATTGGATAATTAAAAAGATAATAAATAAATAAAAATAAATTGAATTTCTACCATATTTTACGTTTTAGTCACTTATTGCGTAAGACTGTATGTGTGAGTGAGTCCGTATAAAGACTGTTTACTCAATATTTTATTTATTTGAATTCATATTTAAAAAACTAGAGATTTATATTTACTATAGTATATAAATAATCTCCACGCTTTTATTTCCATTTGGAAACACGTGAATGCGATAATTTTAAAAACTAAAGTGTTAGCTAAAACTAAAAAATATCCACTAGTATAAGGGCACCACTTTTTTCGTTAAGGCCTCTTTTACAAGAATTCTAAAAAATGCATTTACAACTCCTGTTAATGGATTGATTTCGAATAAAATTCTTTTATACAACTCATTAATTCTCTTCCCTATCACTTTAAATTGTTAAAATTCGAACTATTAAGTGTTTTGAAGTGATTGAATGTTCAAATTTCACAAAAATATATGATATTTCGATCTGTGATAATTTTTTGAAATAATATTTTTTTCCGAATATCAAATGAATCTTATACGCCTAGTGACAGCTAAAAATTACACGAGACAAAACAATCAACTCTTTCGACACTTCCTTAAGAAACTGGGTTTAACTCGTTTTAGTTCCTTACGTTTCTTTAATGGCGGGCTCCTTCTGTTCTTTTCATTTACCAGGCTTTGATTCTATTGGTTGCTATGATCGTATGAAGCGTTATCATTGGCTAACGCGCCACGCGTTACTAGAAGAGGTAGAATCTTATGAAATTTTACTTATCGAATTTGCACCGCGTCATATTCCATATGTTTATAAATTCTAATCATGTTAGATTATCTTCATGATACCTTTCAATTGTTAAATGTTTGCATAATGTTCGTAAAAAAATAAATTATATCTAATAAATCAAGGTCGAGTGTTTTGTTTCACTCTTGTATCGGCACATATAAAAACCATGGTTTGGTGGGATTTAAAATTCAAAATCCCGCTTTTTATTGGTTGATTAAGACCTCATCTAAGATGTTGTTCGAATATCTTTCAATACCCCTTGTTTCGTCCACCCTCATTTTGCTGTTCACCTTCACCTTGATAAGTTGGTGGAGAAAAAATCGCAATTTACCACCAGGTCCCAATGGATTGCCACTCCTTGGTTTTTACCCATTCCTCTCGGAGAAACCATACCTGGACTTTGCAGCTTATGCCAAAAAGTTCAATACCGAAGTCATAAGTTTTCGGACAACAGGTGGGAAGTTGATTGTTGTCCTCAATAGTTCGAAACTCATAAAAGATGTCATGGTAAATCGTTCGGAAGAATTTATTGGTAGACCGATTGAGAGCAACTTTTTGGAATGGTTGTCAAATGGCCTTGGTAAGTTAACGATTTATAAATGCTTTCCAAAGCTCTGATTCAAATATTTTGAGATTTATTATTTGAAATTATATGGTTTTTGATGTTTGAATTTATATAACTTTTTCACTATTAATTTTTGAAACTTAAAATTAGTTTCAACGGTTTATTATTCAAATTTAAAACGATTTTTAATGGTTGAGTGTTTTAATTCAAATGGATTTTCGAAGATTAATTATTCGAATTTATATGACTTTTAACGATTGATTATTGGAACCTAAAAATTATATTCAACTAATTATTTCTTTCCAGTCTAATGTTGCGAAAACGTACATTTTTTTCTAGCTTCCCACAATATTTAAATTAAGTTTGTTAACACTTGAAAATATTAACTGGATGATCATCAAACCTTATTGTTAAATATATTTATAGACATCATGGTGGTCAATATTTCTATAAATAACAAAACTAATGGCAAACTATTAAATTTAAAAAACACTTAAAACTTTAAAAAAATTCGATTGATAAAATAAAAGAAAGTAACAATAGAGGTATTTAAGAACGTGATAAAATATTTATATTTCAACTATGTTCATTATTTAATTTATGTTCTGGTCACCACTGAAAATTAAAAAAAAAAAGAAGCTTTATTATATAATTTTATAAGCAATTAGTAATTTATCTGAACATTAACTCTTTAATTCTCCGTAAAAATATTGGATTCCAAACAATTTCTATAGCAGGAAATTAATTTTAAAAATATTTTATATTATTTGAATGCATTATGTTACTGAATATGTAATGTTGCGTACAGCAATAGCTTAAATTAAAAACCATACTTCGACATGCTGTTTATTCGATACTTTTACCATCACGATATATTCAAAGTAATTTTTAGCTTTATTATTTTTGACATGCTTTAATATTTAAGTTAAAATGCATTAAATAATAAATAAATGCAATAATTTTTATTTTCAAATATGTTTATTCAATAACTAACTCCATTAAAATATAAACTGAAAAATTTGTTGAAAAAGCAATATTTACTTATACTTATTTTTCGAAATCGTAGTTATTTCATATTGTGCAAAGAAATTCACACGACATAGCGATTCGTTTAGATATTAGGAAACGTTTTAGTAAGAAAATCAGCTGTTTTCAAGGTTAAACGTGATACTATCTTGTGAGAAAAATAAAAATCACTTCATTATGATGTAATATGATAAGCTTGGTTAAAGCTGCTTAATCTTTATCATTTTATTCCTTATCGCTACGATTTTTTGAAAATAAGTTCAACTGTCCTTTAAAAGAAAATATCTTCCTTATTTTTTTTTTTTTTATAAAAAAGAGTCACACTATAAAAGGGATGATAATACACATTGAAATTTCATCATCATCATCAAAATTTATCTGGGTTCCTGAGGACGTTAGCGGCTTTTTTTTTCATCCGTCTTAAATTACATTTACATGTATTGGCAATTCTTTATTGTTTGGATTTTTCTAATATTAGTGATATTTCTTTGAAAGCTAATAACAATATATAGGGTTTAAAAAATTTCTAAAAAAACTTTTTTTGAGTAGCATTAATATTTTTTTGGCTGCATTTTAATTTAAGAATCCCATTCAGACAGAAAAAGGGTCTTTGTAGGCAATATACGGTGAAAGAATTGAAATTTTAGGGAAAGAATCTTTATGTAGGAATATACAATGTGTCACTTAAGAGAATTAAAACTTGACGGGCTTAACTTACTCAAAATAGAACGGTAAGAACAGTTGCTAACATAAACAAATGCCACGTTTTAGTAACCAATCAGGATTGAGAAAACCACACTACGTCACTTGCACGTATTCCATTGTATTATATGATAGAGATTTGTTCTCTGAGTGCCATTGAATTTGCAGCTACGCAACTGATTGTATATATATCGTGTAACTTTATGTAATATATGTATCATTTATATAAAGGTTTGTCTCTAATATTGAAACTTTAGAGAAAGAATCTTTAAGTAAGAATATAGAATGTGTCACCGAAGAGAAATTAAAACTTGCGGGCTTCACTTACTCTAAATAGAATGTTTTTGTCGAAAACAAGTTAGAAATGGAATGGTTTTAGTACCAGATCTTTCTGTTTTACAGGGCACTAATAGCCCCGATTACTCTATATATGTTTTTGAGTTGTCGAATTTGTGTGGCAATCATAATTCCTGATAACTGTTTAAAAACACAATTTTATAAGAAAATTTTTTTACCACTATGATAATTTTGAGTCCTGCTATTCATCCTAGTTTATAAATAAAATGACCGTCCCCATATTTTTTAATTATAATCTACTTTGTTTATATTAGAAATAAGAAATTGATAACCTAAATTCAATTGTTAAACAAACGATAATGCTCCAATTTTCATTTTGAAAAGATAAAATTATGAGGAAGAGTTTCTTCCTGGATATGAATCACATTTGTAGAAACCTCGTGTATCAAAGCGAATAGTTTCCAAGGTTATCTTCTGTCTCAATTGCCGTTTTTAACGATTCATAAAGATAATGAATTCTGACAAAGAGTTGAGTTTTATCTCAGCATAAATCATCTCCTCTTATCCTACCTTATCGTAATAAATTTTATCGCAATTTATACACCCTTAGTTTTAAATAAATTTTATTTGTCTTCATAATGCCCTTTCATAAATTTTGCAGAAGTGCAGAAGTTTCAGCTATGGAAAAAGCGATAATAAATAAAAATGGTTAAGCCAAGTCTAAGTTTATATCTGTTACTTACCACTTAAACATCGACCTGCACTGCGACTTTAAATCTTAGTAAAAGAAATTTTTTTAAATTATTAATTATGGTAGGCAAAACTATTATGTTCCTACAAAATAAATGAAAGTATTTTATTTGTGCAACCCTTTGACATTTTAAAAAACCAAGCTTTTTTATTTAATAGAACATTAAGCACAAATGAGTAAATTGTTCCCAATCCTGCTTTGAAAAAGGTTTTCCCACTTATCAGAAAGTTGGTAAAAAAAAAAGTCCTATTGGAACAACGAGTTACTTTCTAAGGGGTTACAGAGGCTATGGCTTCAGAATTTCGAAACAAAAATAACGATGGCGACAATGTCTACAACATTCCACACTGACCGCTTATACTTCTTAAACAAGCCTATAACTATTAATCTGATGCTGGATGGGTATCAAATCACCGCCAGGGAAAGAACCCCGGTCCTATATACAATAACAGCTTAGTACCTTAACCACTGTGCCATCACGGCTTCGGGTAGAGAGTTCTCTCGCGATGAGGCTTTTAAAAGGTTGGCAAAAGTTCTCAAAAATTCTGACTGCTTTTACTTTTAAATGTCTGTCACTCTATAAAATATTTTGCAAAAAGTGCAAGAGTTGGCATGCCTGCACATTCATTAACATATTCAAATATATTCCCCCTCAACTAAACTTTTATCATGTAAATTGACATTCAAGGAATAACAATTTTATTTAGCAGTTAAGCGCAAGAGACCAGGATTAACTGTTTAGCATATTGTAGTCAAATATGTTTTTCTTTTAACTATTCTAAACTTCTTATTTGAATGAGAGATTTGAGATTTTTAAAAATGATATTTGCAAATGAAGAGCTCAGAGTATTTAAAATAAGCTCTTATTATAGCTTTTGTTGTTTCGTGTAAATTACTATGTAACTAATTAAACATAAAAAAAAATTAAACTACATATTCGTTTTATTCATACAATGTTTTCTTTTTATTATTATCAGGTATTACTCAAGAGGAAGGTTCGAATTGGAAAGAACACCGCAGATTCTTCCTCCAGGCTGCAAAAAGTTTCGGTTTCGGCAAAGTAGAGATTGAATCCACGATACACGAGGAAATCAGAACATTGATTGATGACTTGAGAAAGACAAAAGGAGAGTCGGCTCGGTTTGACTTCCACATTTCATACGTCATTAGTACAATGATCTCCAAAGTTATGTTCGACAAGAAGTTCGAGAAGTATGGCGACGTTTTTCCCAAATTGGCACAAGGAGTCGTTGACTTGATCGACATGATGGCCGATCATAGGTTCTTCTTCATTGGTTCTATGTTTAGGTCAGTAAATATCTTCAGAAATTCGAACAAATTTAAAATCTGTTTTAATTGTTCAGAAATCCTTTTATTTCTAGTTTTTATTCCCGAAATTCATTTTAATATAAAATGCATCACAATAACATTTCATGATTTTAATATAACTTGATTGAAAATTTCAAAAAATCACTTTTCTTGCTGATCTAAAATTAATTTTAATGTGAATTTTCTTCTGATTAAATTTTTTTTTAACTGAATTGAATTTGGAATCTATTACAGTAGGGAACCGATTATCCGGAACGATCGGGACCATCGCAATTCCGGATAAATGATTTTTTCCGGTTTCCTGAATCGCTACAAAAAGCTGTTTTTTTATTGTTAAACCCAACTAAAAAAAAAAAAATTTTGAAATATTCTTAAAAAGAAGAAAAAACGATGAAGTAATACACTATGATTATTTCCAAAATGATGGTAAGGTAAACATCTTTCAAAAAAGAAAGAAAAATCCTAAAATCTTATGAGGAAAAAAAAAATTTTTTTAAATAATGGCGAGAAAATTTATTGAATTTCGTTCTGGTTTTTTGGTTTTCCGGTTTTCTGATTTCCGGATACTATATATATAAACTCCGGATACTGTATATATAAATTCCATATATATATAATCATCTGAATCAAACAATTGTCTAAAAAAGTTTGTTTTTGATTTTCGTGAAATTTATTACAGCTTTGAATCCATTCCAAAGAAATTTCATTAATAAAGATGTTTAAATCAGTAAATATCCCCAAACTATTTTTTTCTTCTGATTGTTAACTGAAATTCATCGTACTTTGAAATCCATTTTAATTAAGTTTCTTAACTAAAATATTTTAATCAGTACACATCTCAAAACTACTTTTGTTCTGGTTTTCTCTAAAATCAATTCCAATTTAAAATTTATTCCAATTAAATTTCGTAAATTGGCTATTTCTAATTCAATAAATTCATCCACTTCAAGTCTGTATGTTCTTAAAGAAATTATTTCGATATTTAAATCTATTCTAATAAAGTTACATAAACAAAAATATCTTAATTACTTAAATTAGAAAACCGCGGTGTTCTTGTTCTCTTTCTTGAAATTGATTTCGATAAATCCTTTATAAATTGAATTTCCGTAATTAAAATCAATTTCCAGTTGTTATAAATAGGTTTTAAAATTTTGTAGGTATGTGGCAATGCGTTTGATGCCGTGGTCAGCAAAAGTCAGAGAAGGCAGACAATTTTTGAAGAAAACAGTCCAGAACCTTATTGAAGAACACATCAGAACATTTGATCCTAAAAATTTGAGAGATTACGTGGATAGTTATCTCTATGAAATAGAAAAATTAAAAAAGAATGGACAACTTGAAAAAAGCACATTTAATGGTAAGCTATGTTTGATATTCGATTTTAATGATGATGATTTTATTTAAAATAATAATTTCCAGTTTAAATTATACAATAAACTTGATCTACCAACTTGATTCTTCGTTAAAGTCCTATTTCAGGATAATAATTGCCGAAGTTAAATGATTCTTAACAGTATCATTAAAGCTAGGTTGAATAATACTTGATGATAATTGCTTAAATGCATCCACTTAATTAATTTTGTTCGTTCTTAAAATTAATAATATTAGAAATATAATTAATTTTATTCTTAAAATTAATAATATTAGAGATAGATTGTAACATTAAGAATATTAGCTAATGATATTACATGGTTGATATTTTCATATTATGTATTCATCAGCTGCATTACGTTAATTATATTATAAATTTCTAATGATTATTATTTAATGAAAAAAAACTGATGGAATATATAAAACCGTCGAACAATAAAAAACTATCAACAGTTAAACGTTAACGTTTACATTACGTTAACATTTAACGCTTTCACGTACTGTCGCGCACGTTTATATACGTTCGTTCTCTATTTGACTGCGCACGCCAGCCTCACAGATTCATCAAACTGCGCACATCGATGACACAAATTTGTCAAACTGCGCTTGCTCAGTTATTCCCAAATAAAGTTACGTGAACGCGTTGATTGGTACTTAAAATTGCTAAACCTTATAATTTTTGTTAATTGTATAGTAGTTAGACTCTCTATTAAAGTTTTTAAAACTATATAATGGCTTAGCATAAGCTAATATAAAGCAATAAGTGCATCGATCTAATCGCATACCCATTAATGTTAATAACCTAAAACATTTTATTAAATTTAATTGAAAATTTTGAAATATGCATTTACAAAAACATTTGAACCAGTTTAACTAAGATGGTATGTTTGTCTTCAGGTGAAAGATTATTGGCAGTTTCCATGAACATGTTGATGGAAGGATCTGGTCCATCGGGTATTCTAGGTCTCTTGTTAGAAGCTGCCAAACATCCTGAGGAACAAAAATTGGTGCAAAAAGAAATCGATTCGGTTGTTGGCCGAGATCGTCTTCCATCTTGGTTAGATCGTAACGACCTCGCCTACACTGAAGCTTTCATCCAAGAATTGCACAGATGCGGACAATCATTCTATATTTCAAATCTCTACAGCAATTTTGGTAAGCTAACATAACTAATTGTTTACTGTAGTATAGTTGTTATATATCACAACTGTAATAACTATTCCGTTTCGCACTTCGAATCAGAATTAGTTAATGATATCAGTGTTCTTGATTATTCCATAAACAACTTACAACAAACAAAATTATTTATTTTTCAGTTATATTTACAAAATTGTAAAATACTAGCTTCATCAATAAAACTCGAAACACTCAAAGATATAAAATGGCTTAAATATAAATATATTAATGCTCAAAAATAAATAAATATCAACTTAAAAACCATTTTGTTTCTTCTCCACAAAAGAACTAAGAAGCCCAGAAAAGCAAAACAAACCGTTACTATAGCAACTCAATTTTATGAACTAGATCAAAGTTAAAAATTGAGCTGACGATAATTCTCAACAATAACGACGGCACACAACATTAAAGTTACAACAATTCTACTCAAACAACAGTTGTAAAGCCTTCCTATAGCAATAATTCGCTTCTGTAGTAATTCGCAAATATTACTATATTAATCAAAAGTTACATTTAACAAAAGTTAATGATTTTTAATTATAAAAACTTAGCCCATCTACCAACCAATATTGATTTATTTTCGGATTTACCATTGAGCAATTTTTGAAAGATAATTAAACTTTTTACAGAAGTGCAAACGTGTTTGAAATCCATTTAACTTTATTCAGATTGAAGTCTATTTATACCTTAAGAATCAGAGTTTATCGTCCTATTATCGACAACGGTTATTTATCGTCAGTCCGAATATCAACCATTTTTTAGGCAGTTCAGTTGTTCAATTTTCAACTAGATCTCTATGCCTGATGACAAAACAAATTATTAATCTTTACTGAATGTTGCGTGCTAAATTTATCCCAATGAAAATGCTGGTCACTTTTTGACAAAAACAGACTAAAAGGAAAAAAATAATAAATAACATGAAAATTTTAACGGCTGTGTTTTTTCGAAACTACTTGTGCAGAAAGTTATTTTTATTTTGTCGAAAACAAAAAAAAAACAAAAAAATAAATAAATAAATAAAATAATAATAATAATAACAAAAAAAAAACGTAGGATGCATCACTTCCACATAAAACTTCTATCACCGTATGAAATACCCCACCCCCTCGTACGCCGAAAATGATGCATCCTGCGTTTTGTAATCTAGGTCTGACAAAAAATGAGATGAATAGTTTACAGAAGTTAAGACTTTAGTTAAAACATTTTTGATTTAAAATTGTGCCAAATATATCAAACTGATTTAATTCTAAAACGTAGACATTTTTGTTTCATTGCAGAAGAGACAAAAATTAACGGATTTAGAATTCCCAAACGAAGTACGGTGATTGCCAACCTGTGGACCATCAACAACGATCCAGAAATTTATCCTGAACCGGAAAAATTCGATGTCAACAGATTTTTGGGAGATGATGGAAAAAGGATAAAAACTGACGGACCTTACCCATTCGGAATTGGTAAGTAAATTTCAACTACAATTATAGGTTTTGTACAAATCTTGAAGAAAGAAAAAAAAAAAACAATTTAGTAATTTATTTATATAAAATTTGTTAACCATCACTAAAAATCTTATTTGTCGAGTTATAGTTGGTTGCCACTCTCGACTAAATATGCAAAATGTGATAAAATCCAAACTTTTATTAAGAAAAAATAGTTTTAGTTTAGTCTGAATAATTTATAGTGTAAGTTCTAGTGGCAGTTATCATTTTACTACTTCAAGGGATAAATGAATACAAATGAACTGAGTTCCTACCTCTTTTAACATTTTTAAATCCCTGTGTATGTAAAAAAAATCTAAAGTTAAATTATCGGCCTCAACAAACTTTTTTTTTTTAATTTCCTTTTTTTATAATAAATAATGAAAATGCGCGAACTTGAACATTCAGTTTTGTAGTTTATAAGTTAGATAATAATTATTATTAAAATTATATACATATATTAAAAGCCTCACCATTAAAATGTTGAAACGAAGTGGCATTGGGTATGAATTTTTAAATAATTTATATGTAGTGGTGTGGAAGATTAATTCAAATAAATAAAAAATAATATATTAAAACTTAAACTTAGGTACCACTAGAATAAATTTTTGCAAAAAGCGTTGCCCTAATATGTATTATTTCTCTTTCCACTGAGATTAACCATAGTTCCAAGTCTATTAACAGAGCTATTAAGTTTGAACTTAAAAATTCATTCTGTTTTTATAAACAAGGTTTCATGTAATTCTAATTTGTTGATGAAAACAAGTAAATGTTTCTAATGTAGTTTATTATGATTTGCAGGCAAAAGAGAATGTGCTGGTCAAGCTTTGGCATCAATGGAAATATTCTTAATCATCTCATCTCTGATGCAATATTTTACACTGTTGCCTGGAAACGAAGAAGGAACCCTGAGAGCTATACCAAGAGCATTTTAATAATCGAACGTTCTTTGATTATGAAATACGTCATCATTTAGTTTTAAGAAACTTTTCCACTTTAATAGGCAATGTTTGCCTCCTATTCATGTTTTCGAAGTGGTTCGTTATCTCAAACTTCAACAAACTGAATAGGTTCAAAAAGTTATTCGAAATGTAATATAGTTATCTGATGCGTGTTTTAACTATTTTGCTTCTTTTACATGGCATTTAAGAGAAGATTTGTACATATCACGTGATCTCTGTAAATAGTTCATTACTTGTGTGAGTGCGTGGGTGAATGTTGACTGTATGTATTCATTAAACGAAAATACTTTTCATTGTTCGAACGAAAGTGTGTTTGAGGAGGGGAAATTTAGCTTTTACCAATCGCTCAAATTATATTAATCATCATTCGTTTTAAAAATTAAAAACATTCATACTAAAATTTAAAAAAATAGGTGCGTTAAAGCTAAAAATAATAATGACCCGCAATGTTTTTCTTTAAGAATATAAAAATTCAGTTGCTTTAAGAAATAATTCATTCCATTTAAATAATAACGTTTGTTTTTCCTTTTCGCAAAATAAATTAAGCAACCTAATGTTTTTGTTAGCATAATTTCTTAAACATAAACACAATTTCGTACCTAGTGCATTAAAGGAATTGTTAACAGTGCAAATATAAACATCGAGAATTCATTTTTAAAAAAATTGTATTTTAAGTAACTATTTGTTATAGTATTAGTTAATTTTATCATAAGATATTATTTGTATTCACTTAAGCCTTTACTTTATTGTGATATTGTAAATTGTATTGGTTGGCAAGTGAACAAAAATTGTCTTATTTGTGGAATGTCTCTCACTATTGTAAAGATATCATTAATTATTCAAAATAAATATATTTCTTCTTGATCTGAGCATACTTTTTCTTTCAGTAAATGTTATTACGTAAGTTTTTACTCATAAGATAAGATAATTATACATAATTACACATAATTTAAGATAGCTAATTGGTACATTATTACATACCAATTAACTATCTTAAATTAACCAAAAGAATTTCAGATTATAGTAATAGGTTACAGAAGTAATAGTAATAGGTTACATTATTATTTAGGTTACAGTAAGACATAATCTTTTTTTTTAATACTTTTGCATACGGCGCTAGGCATGATGAAGCCATTCTGGTTCACCTATTGTACCATGGTTCACCTATAGTACCAGAAAAAAGCAAAGGATTAATTATAACAATTGAATATAACTTCTTCCATAAGTTGGAAATAGGGACATCTTAAAACATTTTTTTACTTCAAATTTTAAATTTTAATACTTAAATTTTACTAGCCGTCTTTATCAAGGGGGAAGGACACCCACACAAATCTGTCACTTCGCGGTTCCTAACTGTATGTTAAGTCTTTTTGGTAGCATGACATTTTAATAGTTAATTTTAAAAATAAACATTAAGAACTTAGAAAAACCTTTAGCGAGTGTTTTAATTCCTAAGTTTGAATTCAGACAAATGTAATTTTTTTAAAGAAAAATCAGGACAAAAAGTACGGAGTTATTCATAAGTCCCTAGGTTTTTTTTAAGGCTATAGTACGAACACTAAAACGGATATAGCTAAAACAAACCTAGCACTAAATGCAGAAACAATTCTAGTTTTTACGATGATATCTCTTACTGTTTTTCCAAGTGTGATACCTTGATCACACGGCGTACAATCCAATAGTTCAGCTGTTGCCAGACTCCATTTCATGTGAACGCTATTGACAACACGTGTGATCATTTCACACGTATTTTCTGTTAAATCACGTGATAAAGGAAACAACGTTTTTAGACCACAAGAAACGACCACACATGCTCTCAATACCGTAGTTACGATGTGAAAATAGATCTGATAGGAATTAAACAATCAAATTCAAGTGTACATAAATAAAACTTTGATTGTTTCAGTATTTAGTACAAAATTCGTTTTTGCTGTAATCGTCCATATCCTCCAACAACTATTAAATCAAATTTGAAAGAATTTTCCCACCACTACACATAACTAATTAAAGAGGTAGATAAAATGTCAAAAAGAATTACTATTTTCCAATCCCTGATTTCGCCATTTCAAGACTACAAGACGAATTTGAAATTGAGGAGTGGTGCACAAATTGAAATGTAGCCATAATGGTGATAAGAGAAATTTATTATTAATGAAAAACTCAAGAATTAGTGCAAAATTCACTGAAAGCTTACAAATCTTCACCCAAACTGTTCCAGTGATACAGAAAACTAAATACCTTGACCTGCCATTAAATAACTTTGCATTAACTTTGCACATGGAATGACCCTATAAAAGACATCTCAAAAACCTAGGGATCGCTCAAAGCCATAAAATCATCACAGGAAAGCACTCAATTAGGCTACTTCACCTGAAGAAAATATTTTATGTCAAAATCATAAGACCGATAGCCACTTAAGCTTCACTTAAAACCGCGAAAACTTTAAAAAGGGGTGGCAAAAATGGCTCTTAGAAATTTTAAAAGTATTAGTTTCACTTTAATTCTTAGTAAAAACAATTTTTTTTAAATTCCAGTCTTCAAATTTTTCATACATATAGCTATAACTAAAAGGTTAACGGTGTAAAGATTTTATAAAATTTTATTTTTATTGAATGAAGACTTTATTTTTCTTTGGTCAACTTATCTCAAAAATTCCTGATAGTTTAACGGTCTATTATTTAAGGAAAACGAATCCACCCAGTTGCTTGTTTTGAATGTATACGAGGAGCTCCTCGTGTGTTGAAGGAGAAGAAACGTATTGCAACCGAACCACCACCGCTTCAAGCAACTAAAAGGCTCCACGAGGCGTTCACAACACATATAAACCAGTATTGGTAACTTCATTTCGTGTTCATAGACTTCATTTTTTAAGTATTTATTGCTTAAGGCATATGGTGTTTTGCCAAAAACAGTGAATACTCAAGTTCCAGTCACCAAGAATCACATTTCACAGGCAATATCATGAGTACAGAGCATATATGGTAACGTTACTTTTAAAAAGTAACGAGTAAAAGTACAAGTATTTTTAAAAAAAGTATCGAGTAAAAAGTTCTTATTTTAAAGAGTAACGAGTAAAATGTACAAGTAAAAGTACAAGTACTAAACAAAAAAAGTAACGATTTAAAAGTACATTTCTAGGAAATCGAAAATTCAAAGTAACCTAAAATTTTATTGAATAATATTCTTATGTTCTTTAATGTTTTTGAAAAATTGTTGTTATTTATTTAATTATTTTTAATTTTGAAAGTTATGGACATTAAATTATTTTTAAATTCGGAAGAATATTATAATATAATTTTATAATATAATCGTATAATATAATTTTAAAATCAAATATAATTTTAATATCAAACTTTTTATGGATTTGCACGAAAAAGAAATTTTATCTATTGATTTTAATTTTTAGTTTATTATTTTTATTTATTTAAATTACCATTGATTTAAAATTGTTTTACTCTATAGAAACGCGTTTTAAAAGCACAAACATAAACAAAGCAAACACGGGGTTTCAGATAGCTTTGTGATCTTTGAGCTAGTAAAAAATAATTGAATGTGCAGTATAAGTTGAAACAGAACAGTCTACAGTTTTATTTGTAACAATGGCTAATGCTGAAGTCATGCGAGAAAATCATTTTCCGAACATTTCTGCCTAACGGAATAATTAAAATTTGTAAACGAATTTTAGTATCAGCGGCTAAATTAATACCTTCGAGTTTTCAAGAGTTAAAATAGTAATTATAATAGTTTTCAATAGCACAAATAGTTCTGAAGTTCTTAGAGATTTGACTGGGCGTTGTTTGACAAGGTCGGGCATAAACATAATTTTAGTAAAAAATGTACTAGGTAAAAATGTATTTAGTAAAAAATGTATTAAGACAAAAATGTATTATTAGTGAGTTCAAAAAGAAAATTGAAAAACGTAATAACAAAATCCAACATTTTTTATTTAAAATGTATTAAATAAATGCATAAAACTCGAAAATGAATGAAAATAACTTGCTAATTAATATTTTTATTCATTTTGCAAAATAATTGCATTTCGAAAGTGGTGTCACTGAGTCTGCTGCGAGAATTTCTCAGAACGTGCTTAGCCACGCTGAATAAGCGCTCCACGGGAGGTCAAGGTATTTAAACACGAAGTTAGCTGTGAATGCATATATATTGCACATTAATTTTATAAATTAAAAAAACATAAGCATTTTTTTTTAAATTTAATTTCTTTTTTTTTTAGAAAGCTTACCGAGTTTTAGAAAAAAGTAACGATTTCATTCGATATTTCCGTTACAAATACTTGTACTTTTTCCCTAAAAAAGTAACGAAAGTACAAGTAAAAGTACTAAATTTAAAAAGTAACGAAGTACAAGTAAAAGTACTTACTTTTTACTTGTACCGGTGGTACAAGTAACGAAAGTAAAAGTACTGCTATATATGGTACAGAGTATCCCGAAGCAATATCTTGAGGTAGAAGTACCCAATAAATTAATGAAAACACAATTAGTTCATCATTTCAAGATAATTGGATCAGCAGTGTAAGATCAACTTGGCACTCCATTTTTGACCACGGAAAATAGGGAAATTGAATCAAACTTTCTGTGATTACTTGCAAACGGCACAAGAAAAAGGTTAGTGAGGAAAATGTGGCATTTCAAATTTGAGTTTGAACAAAACAAAACAAAAATCGAAACATTTAATGTAACTTATTAAATTTGACTTTCAAAGTCTGAAAGATAATGATTGACGGGTATCTTTTGGAGCTCTTTGCTGTTTTCCACTTACAGTTCGCTTATTATGCAGGATGAGTGGTTGGATAATGTACAGTAAATGGACAGAATTTAGGAATTCAATGAATGATTGGATTTTGTGATCATTTGAAGTGTTCGTGAGTGATGAGAAAGACAGAGACCCAAGACCAAACAGTGTTCGAAGTGTGTGATTCTAAAAGCGTGCATAGGAGGAGGATGTCCATATCGGCATTTACATTTTGTCATCTGTTGTAAGACTGAATCGGAATGACTTAACTTATGACGGATATGCTCTGGTACGAAGTCGAGAAAATGGGACGTTTTGATTTCTGCAGGAGAGAGGTAGTCGATGCTCTTTATTTATATGGGACATACGTGGAAAGTGTGCATAGTATTTCCTGCTCGCTAATGCAGATTGTCTGTCTCTACTGTTGATAGAGTTGTTTGATCACTCGAAGGGTCACTACAGAGGATCAAAATTGTGATGGCATGCCTTCGGATCATCCTCAGGGATGTTTCCCAGACCGTCGCCTATAGCCCATTGTGCAGCTCTAGAGCGACGTAAATGAACTACAACAACTCTCGAAGGGTGTCTCTTGGAGTAAATTTGTTTTAAATTCCTTTTTTAACTATCGCCGCTTTGGCCAACTTTCAAAATCTGGTAAAATGAACAAGCTTTAGAATTCATGAAAGATACTGATAACTAATCTTTGTGATACTTCACTTTTATTTTAGCGCTAACTCATTACAATAATTTTTTCAAAGGGGTACTATTTACAACACAGCCAAAAGTCAGTAGAGTAGGAATTAGATTTTCCACTCTGTAAGGAACCTGACATATTTTTATTACTGTTTTTGAACAAAAAATAAGCAGGGTAGCTAGCGCATTCAAGTTCGAAATTTTATGGGTCTTTCTCATTGCATGCGATTGACGCTTCACCAATCACCGTCGATGGAAAATGAGAACCTGATTGTTGAAATAAATTCTCAGGTGTAAAACTCACCAATCATGTTCTCCTACCTTCGGGGCGGCGATTAGTGGTGCTTGAATTTTATGCAGTGTGAACGGATACTTATGGAGCCAGTTGCCTTCGTACGATAATGAGCAGAATTCGATAAAAA